GCTCCAGCTTACATGGATACAAACCACAGGCTACACGCCCCACAGATGCCCATCTGAGAGAAAGAGAGAGAGAAAGACAGAGAAAGAGAAAGACAGAGAGAATGAAAGAGAGAGAGGAAGGGAGGAAGAGAAGAAGAGAGGAAGAGAGGGAAAAGAAAAAGCTTAGGGAAAATAAAGATATTCACACTGCTATGAACTGATGTTTCTAAATTATTATGAACTTCAGCAGACTAAGAACAGGAATCAATTTTTCAGCAAGCTTCCCAGAAGCTCCATGAAAAGCCTGCACACTTCCATTTCCTTCCCATGCTAGAGAATGACACCAAAAAAGCTGGATGACAGCAGGAGAAACCTGACCTGTGTGCTGCCAGGCAGGAAACCCAGGGGACTCAGCCCCACTTGCAGCTGGGAGCCACTGCCTGACTCCCCAGTCAGGAGGTTGTCTTTCCAAACTTCTTTGCACAAGCAGGAACTGATAGGACCTTCCTAGATAGGCACTACCACTTCAGATTTGCTGATGGGAAAACTGGGCTCAAGAGTAACTCAGTAATTAATTCTGTGAATATGATATAATTATGTGTAATTCCAACCAGTTCTAAAGCTTTTGTTCTTTCAATGCATTAGCAAAACTCATTATGTTTCACTGCATTTTCTGTTCAGGAAGGAATGTGTTACATGAAATTGCACAGTAAGAAAAAGTCTACTTGTAAAATTGCTAACTAGTAAGAATGCAAGCCATATAAATATGTTTTTGCCTTGAGATACCTCTTAAAATCCAGCTTGATGCCTTTGTCTGTGTTGACAATCTCTTCTAGCCATTCCTGCAATGTGTTGTCACTGTCTGTTTCAGGTGGATGAGCCATGATTGGGTCTCCATTTCCTTCCTTGCCACCACGAAGAAGAACATCTGCTTCTATCATGTGAACATCACCTGTTGATTAAAAAAATGCACGTTCTAACAAACGCAAATCCAACAGTTTCAGGGTCACAATTACAAGGCAACTCTTTCTACCCTGCCTTTTAGAGAAACGCTGATCAGATAATTTTAACAGTGGCAGAGACTGAGTCTAATTCTCAAAACTGACCAACCCACCTCAGCCAAAACCTCAAAAAGTCAGCCAGACAACCAGAAACATCTGCTAGGAAAATGGGAGCTGAAACACAAGTGAGCTTGGTCTGTGCTTAAGTAGGCTGTAGAAATTAAAACAAAACAAAAAAGCTAGATCATTGTAAAATGCCATTTGTATCTCTTGCTCTTCTTAATGCAATCACAATTTTCTTGTAAAAGCTCATGAAAATATTAGAAGTGTGGGCAGGCTAAAACCTTTTATTTTTACCAGAATCTGTCAACCTCTGCCTGGACAGAGAAGGAAAAGGACAAGAGAGGAAGACATTTGCTTGCATTTTGTTGTTGTTGTTGTTTTTCTTAAATTATTTATTGCTTAAATTAAATCACCTGCCTCTCTTGCAAAACTCAAAACAGTCCAAAAAGGCCTAGAAGATCCATCCACATAAGGTCAAAACTACCTGGGGATCCTGAACCGTTGCAGGAAGTTTGCACAGAAGCAGTCTGAAGTGCAGCCCTGACCAGGCTGTCACAAGCACCTTTCCATGGGAGGCAGGATTTTCCATGAGGTCCTTTCCAGTCTCTGGTTTCCAGAGTGGACACACAAACAGATGTGTCAAGGGTGACCTACCATGAGCATAAAGAGGAGAGCACAGGGCAACAGGACCAGTCCTGCCCAGGCTGGTGGTCTGGGGAGCTGTGGCCTAATCTCTGTAAACACTGAAGTTGGTTTAACCTGGATCCTTTTGTGTCCCCCGTGAAATATGAAAACTGAGCAACACTCCAAACAGGCTTGGATGTGTGAAACCATAAAACTCCTGTGGCTCTGGTCTGCAGGCAGGAGATGCAGGCAGGAGGTTGGTTCACCTGAAGGTCTGACAGGACAGGAGGGTCTGACAGGGCAGGGGGGTCTGACAGGGCAGGGGGGTCTGACAGGACAGGGGG